ATCATGGTGAAGTGTTAGTTATTGATAATCATAATAAACCGTGAGGCAGTTACACACTGATATGCTTTTATAATTAATCGACATAGAAAAAATACGGGGTGTTAGGGACGTTGTAACGAAAACTTTGCAGGCGTGCTCAGACCATGAAACTGAACAACTTTTTCTATGGAGCCAATGGTGGGAAACGAAAAAAAAATTCCGACCTCCCATACAAAGTCAGTCAGTTGATCGTAAATTTTGTATGGGAGGTCGGAAATTTTTTTTCGTTTCCCACTATTGGTTCCATAGTAAAAGTTGTTCAGTTTGATGGTCTGATCATGCCTGCAAAGTTTTCGGTACACCGTCCCTAACACCCTGTATGTACTTATTCATTTGACCCGTAAATTGATATCCCACCCAAAACATAAATTTGAAAGGCTGCCAAGTTCGATAATATTGGAATGCTTCGCCTATAAAAGAAGTGAGATCTAAATACCAAGTTCCATACACAGACCTCAGTTTAAAATAGTTACAGGAATGCACACTTGATTTTCCGCAGTTTGGAAAGTAGATTCTTATTTCAAACTGCGAAAAATCAAGTGTGCATTCCTGTAACTATTTTAAACTGAGGTCTGTGTATGGAACTTGGTACTTATTTAGATCTCACTTCTTTTATAGGCGAAGCATTCCAATATTATCGAACTTGGCAGCCTTTCACATTTATGTTTTGGGTGGGAATTCATTTATTTTTGTAAGGTTTATTTTCTTTTTTTCTTATGATTAAGTTAGGTAAGGAAATATCTCATTTATACTTTACTTTGACTAAATACAAACCTTCGTAACGAGTTTTAGGTCGGTACGACGATTGGAAGATATAGATAAATTTTTTGTTTTAGTTCCTTAGGGGTATGAATTTACACCTTCATTATTTTTAAAACCGACTCACACTTGGCCATTTTCAGATTTTTTCCTTTACCTTGACCTAAAGACCTACCTCCATGCCAAATTTAAAGTTAATACGACCATTGGAAGTGGTCTAGGTTTTTGATGAGTGAGTCAGTGAGTGTATAGTAAAAATAGCGATTTTCTGACGTCAATATCTCAAGACCTACAATAGGTACATTAATGAAATTTTGTATTTTAGATAAGTAAGTAGATCTCGACAGATACTAGAAATTTCATATGCGTAGATAAAATAGATTTTGAGTTATAGGTGGGTCGAACTTGGCCCGAAATGGTTCGTGTAATATAACCCACGACCGGTGTGTCGCTTTTTTTGCTCGAACTTGGCGGACACACTGCCGTGTGTCTAGATTTTAAGAATTTTATGTGTTTTATTTCGTAAGTCTCTATGCAGTATTAAATATAAATGTTAATGTATGTTTGTCTGTTAGTATACTAATATTTAAACTCTGGCACCAAGGATTACGATTTCATCTTATGATTCATCTAATTTATGGGATAAGAGCAAGCAGATGATGAATCATCAGCAGACGGAAGTAAGGTTCATCAGACTCTTATTTGCTTTATATTATCTATTTAAGCAAAATTAGCATAACAAAAACGTTAGTCCGTTTTGAATCGCTATTTAAAAAAGAACGGATATTCAAATCCCGTTACATCGTCTAGATCTTGCCTGAATATAACTAATTTCTATTTTCAACTCAAGTTTAATCTCGCTTTCGAAATGGTCGTCATTTTGGGTTCGAGAAGAAAGGCAGTTAGCATCTAGTTGATGTTAGGGTTGTTACCACTTTTAATAATTATCGGCCCGAGTTCCGATTTAACAGTTATTATACTACTCAAAAATTACTACATAAATAGTTTCATTACTTATCATGATATCAATACATTACATTTGAGTTTCTCTGTCTGTCTGTCGTGGAATTCGCTAACTCCCTTTAAACCACGCAGCGCATTTTGATGTGGTTTCGGTAATATATAGTGATTAAAGAGGAAGGTTTATATTTATAACATATGCCGGGAAAAGGCCTTTTTTGTGAGAAAATGAGTTGCAGCGGGTGAAAACGTTAGCAGATTAATAAGAATAATGGCGTAACATGTAGCGAAGGCCTTGCTTTGTATAAACCATGTATGTGAGGATGCCTTATCTAATCTTAGCTATCCCACGTCGTCCCTCTTTAACACTGTACACACGAAAAATACCTTAGTTTTCGCCTTCCATTTTAAAGCTTTTTTAGGGTTTCGTAGTCTACTAGAAACCCTTATAGTTTCGTCATGTCTGTCTGTCAGTCTGTCTGTCTGTCTGTCTGTATGCCGCGCCCTCATATCTTCGTCAGTTTTAGAGCTATCGACATGAAATTTGGCGTGAAGATAGATCGTGTTGACCCAAATTTAGAAATGTTGAGATAAAATTATTTCAAATGTTTTTTGGACCCCCTCCCATACAAGTGAAAGGGGGGCAAAAAAATTTTTTTTCTTCTATAATATTGAGTAGGATATCGTTGAATAGATATTTGAAAACTAAGGAGAGGTCTCTTTAAAATAAAGTCACTAAAATGTTTCTATCACGAGATATTTGCTTTTAAAAAGGGCGTTTTTGACCCATAATTTGTTCCAGCTGTAACTTCTAAAGTATAAACGCTAAAAATTTGAAAAAAATGTGGAATATAGCTTACAATCTGAAGTTACAATGAAAACTATAACGGATATTGTACCCTTGAAGGTTTCAGAAAAAAATGAGTTTTTCTATTTGCGGTTGGTCATCATACTGCTGCTAACAAACCAGCAACAAAATTAAGTTTGTAATGCTGAAAAACCTGAGATTTTAACGTTGACTACGAAACCCTATTTGTGGGCGTGTCTGACACGCTCTTGGCCGGTTTTTACTATCTGGATATAATTTATCTTTGTGAGCTGTGTCAACCCTAGATATTATCTCGCTGTTTCAAGCCTAATGCTCGAAATATTAATGCGCAGCAATTAATCGTCTGTGCGAAGTTGCTTAGTCTTTTTCTCAGGACATATTTCTTTTTTATTGGGTCTAACATCCATATAAAAGTATATAAAAGTTTAAGATTCTCGTGTGGTAAGATGGTGGCTGCGAATACCTGCTGCCACTCCTAGTCCAATCAAGCAGGGTGTTTTGTAAAAGGCGACGTAGAGTTTTGGACATCGGCTATGGTCAACCGCATGGTGGCGGAGATGCCACCTTCAATAGCATTCCCAATGAGGATTGACGTCATTTTTCTACATTATTTTGTATTAAACAAAAAATGTTACGCCAACCACAACTGATTTAGGATAAAAGCAGGCAGATGATGATGTATAAAAAGAGTTTATATAGGTAGCAATATAGAATTACTTAAAATTCTTTTTGCAGAACCAAAATTTTTAAACGCTCATGAAATGTACCTACGGAAAGCAGCTTTGAGGTAAAAAAACCTGTATTGAAATACCTAATGATTACCTTGAATTCGGCTAATATTGACTTTAAACATACAATACTATTTGAACATCTAAAATTCAGATATATTTAACGTTTACCTTAATAATAGTTCTACTTACACAAGGTTAACGATACTCTACATTAAAATTCATTTTGTATTTGGAAACATACAGAATACGGCATATTATTGCATATTACCTAGAAGTTATTAGTGCTACATCTGGTTCTATTGGAATAAAACGTCTAAATCAACCTGTCAGTTTAGTGTTAAAGATATGTACTATCGATTCCACATCAACCTACTTCTATGGAAAAATGTTGGTCCCTTAAATATGATGTGGTGATAATACACGATTTCTTTGAAAATGGCCTTAAATATTCGGCATGATTTAAAAAAATATAGAGTTAAATATTTGAGACAAGTTACCTATACAAATATAAAATCTCACATACTATTAGATAAGGGTAGTACCTAGTACATTCCTATGGGATAAAATTAGTAGCGGGTGAAACCGCGGAGCTAGTCTCTGGTTAGAAACAAATATAACCTCAAACTACGAAAGTAGTATGACACACTAACACTGAGCATTATACGGTAATTAGTACTAATTATAAACCTATTTTTAATTTATAAGAATGCAAGTAGTTCATGATTCATTAACCTGACTAATTTAAATAACAAACAAACCAATAACCATTAAATGTAGGTAAATAAAACAAAATATTTTATTAGCCGTTTCTGGAAAAATAAACCAGTACATTAACCACCTCGTTTAGTCTAAACTGGTTCTACATTGTAAACCACTAATTAAATTCATCTTCTGTGCTACACAATCAACCTATTAATTAAAGGCTCAAGTTATGCTGGTTATTCTTAGTACCATATATGCATAAATATATCACGCCTATCCCTTGCGGGGTAGGCACAGCGTAAACGGCTGTAAAAATGGCCATTTACATCACGGTTATCAGTCTGTCGTCTAACCCATATATGCCCACTGGGTCGAAAACGACCCAAAATTGGTTGGTGCATTTGCAAATTAGCAAAAAAAAGTAACACAAGTTTATTCATCTACAAAATTCAGATATAAAAATAGTTCTTGGCATATGTGGGCTAAAATTGCAATACATCAACTCTCAAATCCCTTGGTTTAGTCGCTTCTTATGTCACCCATGGGAAAGATATGGAGTGATGCTATTATAAGCCGGCACCACACGGCCAATTCTTAGTAACTGTACAAAATAACCAGTATAATTAGATCCCTTATTGAGGTTGTTATGCTGCCTATAGTACCTTTATCTGATAGCAAAACAATTACTCTAATAACAATTTATAAGAACAGCTGATTATAAATACAAGATCTAGATAATTGTGTTGTATAATAATGAAATGATTAATACTTAGCAAGGACAGGTCAATATTGTAGATTCAAGCGATTGTTATTAAACCATCATTAGTTTTGCATAGTCTAGTTAACTCTAGTTCATTCTTATTAAGTGAACCGAACTAGGTATTTCTAAACGAATACAGGCTAGCTATCGGTTTAGAGTCTTTAAGGATCTATTTTAATGCACTCTCATAAATGATAATAAAAAATTTAAAAGACTGTCATTCATCGACCAGGGTTCGAACCCGGGCCCGGGCATGGGTAAACGCCCCACCACTCTGCCACTAAGCTATCGATGCACCTGTATCTAGATGCTTTCCCAATTTTTCAATCTCTTGATGCTCATCTCCAAGCGACGATCTAGCGACATCTATCTAGAAAGTATTTACGTTTTTAGGGTGCCGCAACCAAAGGGTGAACCCTATTACAGAGATTTCGTAAACAGGCTGTATCTCATAAACAGTAATAATTAGACTGTTGAAATTTTCACAGAGGCGGTTATCTGTTCCCGCTATAGCAACAAATACAAAAGAATGTATATATTTTGACCTATGTTTCATGGGGAAAATTGTCCAGGCTTTCCTCAGTTTTCAGGATCTAATACTAAGTAGAAAATATTTTTTATTGTATTAGGAGAGAAAATTCATTGAAAGAGCCTAACGTAGTGTAAAGTGTTTGTGTAATTGGTGTAAGTAAGTACCACAATGTATCAACATGAAAATAAAACGGTCGAACTTTGGAACGCTCTTCAAAATAAAATTACCTATACTTATAAATTTTAATATCGGTAATATGTAAAATAAACAAAAGAATCCGAATTTGAATAACATAAACAAACAACATGCAGACCCAAAAAAATCGGAAATTCAAATATATGACCCAGTCGTTTAACGAACCCAGGACCTTGGGTAGCACCGTAGTAGGTAGTCACACTGGGTCATATTGTATACTGGGTTATTTTTTAGTCAGTGCGCAAACTTTGCCGGGTGTTTCTACTCGTGATTCTGAACAACTTTTACTATGGGACCACATGCGAATTCGCAAAAAAAAATTTGGATGTTCCATAGAAAATTTCATATCTACCTACTCGGCAAAAATGTATGGAACAACCAACAATTTTTTTTAGATTTCGCATGTGGCCCCATAATAAAAGTTGTTCAGAATCACGAGTAGAAACACCCTGCAAAGTTTGCGCACTGACTAAAAAATAACCCTGTATAATAACACTTCTGAAAATGATATTCTTGTATCTAATTGTATAGTACTTAACACGGCTAAGCAGCAGCTAAGTGTTAAATATTTGCGTGTACCTATAACTATTATTATCACACTAAATATGAAATATGCGAATCATGGTAGTAAAACTAATTAGAATCATCCGGTCTAGATAACGTATATCTACTCTTCTTATTAGACTTGATGATAGGTAAATCAAATCCTTTGGTATTTTGAAGTATACCTTTTTGGGTTTTACAAAGTTATTCATTGTTTACAAATTCTTTTAAGTGTCTCTGCAATACTCTGCATTGATTTTAATGTTTGTTTACAAAATATTAGAGCGTATTGCATAGGTGATGCCTTCTCTAAAATATTTTGTACGCTCTGCAATGTTTTAATGTTCTTGTTATTATGTGATAGATAAATCTCTGCAACCCTATTTAAGTCTATTAAGACGGCCCGCTCATAGTTATTTTAAACCATCAAAACATAACCTGCAGCTATTTCGTTTCGTAAACTGCGAAAATAAATCAAGAAATCAATTTCCTCTCTAGAGATGCGTTCCAAAGTTCGCCCTAGAAAAAAAATAGTGAAGAGAAAAATAATTACTTTCGAGTGTAGCACTCATCGGCGAGCGCTCGTGCACTCTGCCGGGACACGTGCAGCGCAAAACGGACTCCGATGAAGGCAAGGATCACTATCATAGTCCTGGTCTCCTGGTACACAAGCACCGCAATCCCAAACAGACGAGTGCACAAAAACCTGGCTGGATACACTGTATGTACAGTTTATCGTCCCAGCACAATCACAGCGATGTCAAAAAGCCGAAAAGTGCACAAAATCCTGGCAACGCTGTATCAAAGTTTATAGTCCCAGCACAATCACTGCAATCTCATATCTAGGCGAAAAAGTGCACAATCCTGGCTGGCAACACTCTATTTACATACAAGCTACGCGTGCGGTTCAGCGTGAGAAAAAACGTTCTAAATCCAAACCGAGTTCGACATCCAATCGGGAAACAGTTCACATAAAACTGATTCGATTCGGCGAATCAGATAATGAAACCAGAAATCCTTCCACAAATATCGTTTATAGTTTTTTGTAACTTCTTAGCCACTAATATCGTTTATAGTTATAGTAACCTCGTAACTTCGTAAGCGCGGGAAGTAAGGAAGTTACAGAGTAGGAAGCTTGAGAGCGAAAGTTTGTAGCGCGCGCGGGCCGCATGGGCCTCTGTCCGAGACTGCGCGTAGCAAGCCTCGTGCGCTCTTGCGCCGGCGCAGACCTTTCGTTCACGTAATCTTGCATTACAGTTTAGTTACACAAACGATCGACCTCTGCCATTCATTGTCAGCCTCAAGGTTTTGTCCGGTGAAGAAATCAAGAAATCAACCATTGCTCGATGTAGAGTGGGTTGACGTTTACTTAGAATATAAAGTTACATTACAACATGATTGGACTTGAAAACTATGCCACAATAGTAGTTTATCAGCCGAGTGTGATAATAGTTTGACACGAGCATTCTAAAGCCTAATTATATGCAGTTGCATATACTATTTTATCTACACTCTACAAGAAAAACTATGAAAAATAATTCAAACCTCCGCACTGCACTATGGCGATTGCAAGCCTATCTACTGAACCACCAACTGAACGACTTTTGTACATAAGTAACTTTTTAACTAAACGTTAAAATGAAGGCTCATAAAAACTGAACAACTTTTAAAATTAAAAAGCATTTATCGGTGAATTTTAATTCGAAAAATGATTTGAAGCAAAGATTTAAAATAAATAAGTCCTCATAATGTCAAGTGTCGTCCCGCCCGGGTGACACTTGTTTTTTTTTTCATTTGACTTACTGTTGGCCAGTATCAAATTGGAACAGATTACAATTTGGTACGCGGGTCAATTCGTTTTTTTTTTTCAAATACTAGAAATTGAGTTACTTTATGTAGCTGCCAGTAGTATGAAAGTTTTTTTTTAAGGCTGTATATTCGTAATGCAGTTTATAACGTTCGTACTTTCGATTCTGTAAAACGAATATTACGAAATGAGTGTAGATAAAATTCTTGAACGCGTCAAATATAATTTAGGAAAAAAACTGGCCAAGAGCGTGTCACACACGCCCACAAATAGGGTTTCGTAGTCAACGTTTAAATATCAGGTTTTTCAGCATTACAAACTTAATTTGTTGCTGGTTTGTTAGCAGCAGTATGATGACCAACCGCAAATAGAAAAACTAAATTTTTTCTGAAACCTTTAAGGGTACAATATCCGTTATAGTTTTCATTGTAACTTCAGATTGTAAGCTATATTCCATATTTATTTCAAATTTTTAGCTTTTATACTTTAGAAGTTACAGCTGGAACAAATTATGGGTCAAAAACGCCCTTTTTAAAAGTAAATATCTCGTGACAGAAACATTTTAGTGACTTTGTTTCAAAGAAACCTCATCTTAGTTTTAAAAGATCTATTCAACGATATCCTACTCAATATTACAGAAGAAAAAGAAATTTTTTGCCCCCCTTTCACTTGTATGGGAGGGGGTCCAAAAAACATTTAAAATATTTTTTTCTTAACATTTCTATATTTGGGTCAACACGATCTATCTTCTCACCAAATTTCATGTCGATAGCTCTAAAACTGACGAAGATATGAGGGCGCGGCATACAGACAGACAGACAGACAGACAGACAGACAGACAGACAGACAGACAGACATGACGAAACTATAAGGGTTTCTAGTAGACTACGAAACCCTAAAAAACTGGCCCAAAAAATGAAGAAAAAAAATATCTTGAAAATTGTAATACAATAAATAAAAAAAATGTAAAATAAAAGAGGCCATTTTGATTATTTTTGTATCGATTTTTGTAGTAAACTAATGTACACTCTGACCAGAATTAAATACAACCAAATTCTAAAACTGTTAAAAAGAAGTACAAAAATGAAAAAACGGTTAAATAAATAAAAATGAGAATTTTAAAACTGATTAGGTATTTGTGAGATCATAGATCATACTTTAAAGTTACAAAAATCATAGAGGGAAACAGAGTAGATAGGAAATATATATTGATATTCCGTAAATCATATCTACCTTCTAATGATATCCGAAACTGGTTTTCTGCATCTGTTTGTCATACAAAGATCGTATTCAAATTAAATAAGAAGATATTTAAATATCCGCACGTCCGGATTCGAACCAATAAACCTTAATCCAGCGGTTTGGCTAGTAGTTTGTTTGCAGGGTTGATCGAGTCGTTTGTAGATTCAGTGTCCCACATGATAGAAGTATTTCAAAACAAAAAAATGTTCTGTTTTATGGACTGTTTCTTTTTTCATCCCTTATTTATTTACTTCTACTCTACAATAGTATATTCTGAGCAATAGTTTTGGTTTCATTTGATTGTCAGATTGATAATCATTGAAGTCATATCATATACCTTCAGTAAATAAACAACTGCCTTGAATAAGGCTGTATACTATTTATAACAAGCCTTGATTGTTCATTAAGAGCTAAATATATATGTTAAGGTAAGTGACCTTACGTATTCGCATAATGTATATAATTTTTTTATTAAAGCAATGCTCGATGTTGGCTGTTGTTACCCATTTTTGCAAAGAAGGTTCTTACAAGGTAATACTGGCGGAAAAAGATCTAAGGCGCAAGCTGCATAGAGGAGATACCTAACACCATCCCACTCTATACCTAAAAGCACCGTCTTGAAAACCTTGAAATGTGTAGGAAATAGGTAGTAAATATGATTTATTTTATATCTGTCGGCAGCTAAGCTTGTGAAATGCAATTACGATGCCTGACCTACGGATACGAGTAAGCTAGCATGACCCCGCCGACCTATTACAGGTTGTATGAGCATAGACATCCGATACGCAAGGCAATACATACCTAAGTATATATTTTGCTATGTGATCGGTGGAAACCTATTTATAATTCGTAGCAATATTTGGGGTTTTCACATTTTTTACAATTTCTAAGTTCTGTTCGAACATTATGCAAATAATTATAAGTATTTTTGCCGTTTAAATTCAACGAGGTGATTCGAGCACAAGTGTTTTTGGCA